AACGGAAAATTTGGATAAGTAAAGCACTTGTCAGCTGCATACTGGATAAGTAACAGAAAACAAGCATGGGTATATTCCTTGGAGCAGCTAACTACGAAATCACATACATCTACAACAAAAACGTTCTATTAACGGGGCAATATTTAAAGTACGAAAAAATAGCATATATCTAAGGTATTTAGAAATGCACCCAATAAAACGGCATGTGATTATAAAAATATAAAAGGTAGTACTACTCATTGAAACAAATAAAATAATTACATAAGGGTGAGTTTTAGGAAATATTACTGTTTTATGACTTGTAGATAAGAGAAACTACAATGAAAACTCAATATAAGAATTATCCCTTTATTTTTAAAAAGTTAGACAAACATTACAATAGTGTTAAAGGTGGTTAAGCTGAGTTTGCTTCACTAACAATTTTTCAGAACAGAAACTGAATACATTTGGCACAACCTCGCTCTTTTATATGATCGTTCAAATGCAATATGCACTGCATCAAATGAATGAAGGTAAATCAATAACTGACTTGATTTTGAACTGCTGGGTTGCGAGTTCTAACCGAGCTGTTTACATCAGTTTGAATAGCTAAGTAATATTATTACTACTAAAAAAATGTACGATATAAAGTCCACTACATGAATGTTTACTTGATTACGTAGTTAAAATAGTTACGATTATCAATATGTTCAAAGATTCACGAAAGTAAGTGCAGAAATATATTTTTGTTAACACTCAAAATATATTTTCAATAGTAGAAACCACAAGGATGATTAAGCACTATTTAAGTGAGTCGCGTATTAAGATGGTATTGCTTTCGCACTTAACAGACTTACATTAACTGGTGGACTCGTGTTTTCCTCAGTGTGACACATTATTTTTGACTTAGATCATATTACTAAGCATTAAATCGGTTTTTTGAAGGTATGCATGATTAACAAATGTGCTGGTCTACGAATAAAAGATTGAAAATTTTGGTGGGATCCACGTTCTTTTCCATAAAGAGCTCCATCCAACGTTCTGTGTTTTCTGAAGCCATTAATTGATATTTTATCAACCTCATAAGCTCTTACTCATTATTGTGAAATTCTACACTAGCGGAGATCCAGATGAGCAAGAACATATTTAAACAATTTCTGAAGTAGTCACCAAGTTCATATTCATTGCACACTAAGAGGTTTTATGGAACTCTGGTCCTCAAAGACTTCTGAGCATCCTCCAGATTATCATGGCCTAAGAACGTACTGACGGATGACAGACGTTTGGTGACTACCAAAATTTTCGTAATGGCAAAAGTGCTTGCCTGGTATATGCTATCTGTGTCGCAGGCAAAATATTTGTTTGTAAATCAACTAGTGAGTATATGGTGCAGTAGTACGGTGTTTCACAATCCCTTGACAAAAAAGATATGCGTGCATCAATTAAAGGTTTCTTTGAAGCATTGCTACTATATGACGCAAACGTAGAGCTAACACTGCTGAAGTCATACATAAGTCAAGAGCGGAAGTCAGTCTATGATTTTGTCAAACTCATTCTGACACACTTGTCGACTCACATAGGAGTAGGTTCTCAAAAAGCCGAGGATATCATTAATTTCATTATTCTCGTCAAAAGAGGAAAACAGGGTCATATACAGAAAATATTCTGACAGTTATTATAGATAAATTTCATTCAACCTAAAGGTGAACAAACTAATCACTGGTTTGATATTCTTATAAACCAACTTTAAGATGGTCAACAACTTCAAAATAACATAAGCAACCGAGCCCCATTTGCTTATATTTAGATAAGTAGTTTGGAATGGGAAGCAAACCATAATAATCTATTAATTATCTTTACTAAACAATTTATACATCACAACAAAATTCCCGAAAAATTAAGAAATATCTCTGATAAACGGCATGATACGTTTACCAATATATTTCAGTCAGAAATATTCAGAAAATTAGTGTCCGTTTTATGTCTGTGGTTTAATGGGAAAAACAAATCAAAATAGGTACATGTATACTGACAGGTTTTATATCAGAATTGAAAATGTCATCAAAAACAATAATGGCTAGTTATTTTATCCTTAATTAAACCTTATCTCAAGTCTTACTTAGAAGTGTATTTTAATGAGATCTCATGTTACCCTTTCTAATTCAAAATTCAATAACAAAAAACCAACAAATGTTTCAATTAAAAAACCTCATGTTACTAACTTTAATGTCATACATATCTAAATGTAAGATCTGTAGTATACTGGTGGATAAATTTGAGGAAACAATTCAACTTTTGACCTTATATCACACCACAAACCTACAATTAGCACTTAAACAAAGTAGTATGTTCATAGTAGCAGTGCATTACTGTCAGTTTAGTCCCATAAATATATAGTTCAAAATTTTGCAAGGTGCTAACAAATATTCCGAAACAAAACACATTTCATGCATTATGGCGCAGTGAAAAGTTGTTGACCATTTTTCTACTTATAGACTCACGAAACAAATGCTTGTACTTAGTTGAGTACAGTCTTAAGGTTAAACAGTTGAGCAGCGAATGTACTTTTTTTGAGGATGGTCCACAGGTGAAGTTGAGGAAGCTCTAAGGAGCCCAGAAGGAGCCGGACATATTCCATTCAATCAGCTTTTGGAAGAATAGTCTAGAATCACTACGTGTAGCTTCCTTATTGGACAATGCTGATAACTCCCTGTGTGCGGATTGGATAACTATATTGGTGATTTTGTTTCTACTAAAAACTATAAATACCTGACAGGTTTGTACCATAAACGACACTGTTTGGAATAACATTCCTTCTACTTGTCTTATGTCTTCTGATTTGTGACTTGGGAGGGTTCTAGCGTTCGAGTGCTCAAGTATTACGCGACAAACTAAGAATCTAAGTTCGAGATATAACACTTTTACCACAAAAAATATGATTCTTAATGACGACTCTAGTTGAAAAACCAAAAAGATGGTCCGATTGGTTTAATCTATAAGAATTTATACAAAAAAGTAGATGATCTACTTTATGACCTCATACTATCGAAACTAAGAATTACATTAGCTACCCTATAACCCTTTTTTAGTGACGACTAGCTTTCAAAAACGAATTAGAACAAACTGTACACTAGTTATAAGGCAAATATTTTCTGCCTGTAAATGTTAAGAAATACACTATGTTCTAAGAATTCGACCAGAATCAACTTCAAGTTTTTTTTATCTGAGAAGGTTTATTCACTAATAAGAAATCAATCGTATATCATTACCAGAACGAGAAGGAAATTATTCCGCAATCATTCAAAATACTTTCTATATCAAGGGATGGTGGACCTAACTAAACAAACTAGAAAATAACGGAAAAGTTATTGTAAAAGGGTGTGATTAAGCCAACTAAATAAGCTGACACACACATGCTTTTCGATTTCGGCACGTTTGACTGAACTTTGTTAATGAAGATCTAGAAAAGCTGAAAATCTATATACTTCATCATTATGAAATGGCCAAATTAACTCAAGAAGCTTCTATTAGTCTAAATCTGACACAAATACAAAAGCAAAAATTTAATTTTGAAACTATTTGCCCCTACATCCACTAGATTGAGACAAACTATTTATAAAAGAATGAATTAATGAATGACTCAGACAAATGCATATAATGAGTCTACTTACCAAACGAAAATGATGTGAGATCATACTCTTTAAACTGAAACCCAAAGTTACAACGGGATAGCCAATGCTAGTGAGAAAAAAGAAAATATATAAGATGATAAAACAGTGACATAAAAATGATGTATGTGACGACTGTGTATGGACAGGAAAACAATGAAGTGAGAATTAAAAGTCTACATAATATAATCAATCAACAGCTTCTGTGATCTGAGCTA